TCTCTGTTCCTTGCTCAAATCCCACCTCTAGAACCTACAATATCCCCCAGAATGGAACATCTGTTTATCCTGTTCTCCCAAGCCTTTCAGCCTTGAGAAGCTTTTTCTGGCATTAGGCAAAATTTTTCCCCACTCAGACCTCATTCTTCAATTTGTGCCCTCAGACTCCCATTTGTTTCTCACTAGAAATATCACATAAAACGATAACATTGCCTACAATGGAGGCAAATTCTGGGGTTATTGACCCATCAGCAAAAAGTATTGTTTTAATACTTTCATGTCAGTGACCAGACCTGTGTTACCATAGATGGCTTTCCATAAGGAAGAGAACTTGACCTGAAGTTGACCTTACTTAGTAAAACTTCATTGCAAGTGTATAGCTTCCTTTTAAAGTTTATATGATTTTTATTGTTTGTAAGATTAGTCATTGGATTAATTGTCACAGATTTATCCTAGGAAAAAGGATCTACAGCTGCCATCATCAGTTCTAAATTTGGTTACAGTCAAATCCCAGCACTTGCCCTTGCTCCACAAGCACCATTGTAATGATGTACAATAGCCACTGAGTTGGGAACTGAGATACCTCCTAATATCTGCTATCTGGCAGTCAGCCATCAAATCATTCCCATTGCCTTAACTACATCATGTTTAACAAATACTGTGTATGTGTAAGACAAAACATAAAAAACACAAATACTGTATATATACTCCTTTTTGCTATGCTGAGATTCAAGAACAGAAGACTAACTCTAGATACCTTGTATTTAATTCTCAAAATAAATATGAGTTAGGGCCTCCCCGGTGGGGCAGCGGTTGAGCGCTGGGTTGCGAAGCTGCCTGCAGCCTCTGCAGCGCCAGTTCGATCCCCGGCTGCTCCCCGGCCACTAGAGGAGGGTCCCACATGGCGCGCAGACCTCTCCTGCCACCCGCTGCTCCCCTCAGCAGTGTACTTTGGTCCTTCTGCCTGCTCTGCTCCCTGCTCTGGCTCTGATGAATTCTCTCACCCTCCCGCGCTTCTGACTGTACCTAGTGCTTGTATAAATAAATAAATGTTAAAAATAAATAAATAAAATAAATGGGCCTTCTTTAAAAATAAATAAATAAATAGATATGAGGTAGACATTTTAAAAATGAGAAATAGACTTACATTATTACTGAGCATCAGTGAACTACTCAAGGGCACATAGCTAATAACTGAAACTTAGAGGCAGTAATACCTCCAAGAAGAGATTCCTTAAGATAGTTGGAATTTGCATTAGAGGAGGAAAAATATCTCAAACATCAATATGCAAGACTGTATACGGTCGGATGTATAGTTTCCAACCTCACTCACTCACTGTTACTTTGAGTAAATCCCTCTCCTAACAAATTTCACTCTATATAATCTCTTTATAATGAAGTTGACCTATCACTTATTTTTTTTGCTTTAGGTCTATTATACGGATCTAATGAGATAGTTTATAAATATGCTTCATAAGGCAAATAAATGTTTCTTATAAAGCTTTGTGAATCCTCAGCCTAGCATCTTTAGTCAAAATTCAGTTCTCGAGGAAGACACAGAAATTCAGTTAAGACTATAAATTATTCCCTTTTACAATGAAAATAAAAATTGAGGGCCTTCCCGGTGGTGCAGTGGGTCAAGCGCAGCACTGTGAAGTTGTCTGCAGCCTCTGCAGCACAGGTTCGAGTCCTGGCTGGCCAGGGAGATTCCCACACGGCTCGACAGACCTCTCCTGTTGGGCCCGCTGCTCCCCTCAGCAGTGCTTTCAGTCTGTCTGCCTGTTCTGCTCCCACTTTGTCTCTGGTGAATCCTCTCACCCTCCCATGCCTCTGGCCTGTACCCCAGCTATTGTATAAATAAAAAATAAATCTTAGAAAAGAAAAATTGAGGGGACCTCTGTTGAATTCTTCAGGCCAGAGGTGCGGGAGTTGAGAGGATTCACCAGAGACAGAGTGGGGAACAGAAGAGGCGATTGACTGAAATACACTGCAGGGAGGAGCAGCAGGCAAGACAGGAGAGGTCTGCTGCACCATATATGGGTCAGCTCCTTGGCCGGGGATCGAACTCGTGCTGCAGTGGCCACTGATAGCTTCACAGTGCTGTGACTTAACCCCTTGTGTCACCAGGGAGGCTCAAATTTCATAATTTAGGGCCTCCCCGGTGGCGCTGCGGTTGAGCGCTGGGTTGCGAAGCTGCCCGCAGCCTCTGCAGCACCAGTTCGATCCCCGGCTGCTCCCTGGCCACCGGAGGAGGGTCCCACATGGCGTGCAGACCTCTCCTGCCGCTCGCTGCTCCCCTCAGCAGTGTACTTCGGTCCTTCTGCCTGCTCTGCTCCCTGCTCTGGTGAATTCTCTCACCCTCCCACACTTCTGACTGTACCCAGTGCTTGTATGTATAAACAAACAAACAAATAAATAAATAAATCTTTAAAAATAAAAAAAAAAAAAAAAAATTTCATAATTTAGATTTGTGCATTTTCCTGTGTTTGTAATACGTAAGTTAAAAAAAAAATTAAATGCAATGGGAGCACAGAGAAATCAAGAAATCAGGGAGGATTTACTTGAGGATGTTTAAGATGGATCTTGAATAGGAGTTTGTCAAAAAGCGGGTCATGTCTCCCAGGCAGAGAGCACCACAAAATAGTGTGACTGGGCCTCCCTGCTGGTGCAAGGAGTTAAGTCTCAGTACTGTGAAGCTATCAGCAGCCACTGCAGCAAGGGTTCCATCCCCAGCCAGGGAGCTGACCAACATGGCGCAGCAGACATCTTCTGTCTCACCCACTGCTCCCTTCAGCAGTGTATTTCAGTCAATCTACCTGTTCTGCTCCCCACTCTGTTTCTGGTGAATCCTTTCAACCCCTGCATCTCCGGCCTGCACCCCAGCTTTTGTATGCATAGATAAATAAATCTTTAAAAAAAAATGGTGTGACTCTGGAACAAGACAATGGTGGCCTAGGGCTTGAACAAAAAATTAGAAGCTAGAACAGGAACCAAGCAACACAGCCAGCCAGCTAACAACAAACAAAGTAAGAAGAGGAATAAGGAAAAAAATGGTGGCCTCATTGCTTAGTTTTATTTCTGAAGTGCCCAAGTTCTGTGATGAGAGAGACATATATGGGCAGATACTGTGTGGAAAAGTGTTGCTGCTTGGGAAAAAAGGGGCATTTCTCATGGGTGGATTCTCTGACTCATAAAGGCGTTTTGGCTCACGAGGCCATGCTTCCTGGTTCCTTTCTTAGGGTCACATGAAAATGAGCAAATGTGGGTCATCAGGAGAGGGCTCTTCAGGAACCCACAATGGAAACCTGTGGGTGGTGGTGTGGAGGGACACACACACTCACTAAAGTGACCTCTTTATATATACAGATCCTCTCTGGCTTTCCTCAAGAGTCCTGTAGGAGGATACTCCAGCCTGACTCTGCAGCAGTCCTCTTGGGGGCTGTAGGAGTTCAGGCCCACTCTGAAGAGGGATCCCTTCTCCAGGTTCTTTCTCTCCCATTCTGATTCTTGTCACCAGAGGCAGGTAAGCAGAGATGAAAGGGCTCGATGAGGTGATGGCCAGGAGACAGTATGGTCTAGCATTGCAGAGCACACGCTTCCAACTCAAATGAGCCCCGACTCTGGCACCTGGCAGCTGTGTGACTTTGGGCCGTTTGTTTAACTTTCCTTTGCCTCAATCTTTCTGTGCACTTTAGGCCTTTACACATGCTTAAGATACTGCTCCTTTCCCAAGTTCACCTGTGTGATGCCTTATTCTCAGTCAAGTTTTGACTTGGACAGCACTTCCTCCAGGAGGCTTTACTTGCGTCTGCAGGGCCGCAGGATGGGATTATGTGTTCCTGTGTGCTTCCATTGCACCTTAAGTCAGGCACCTCTGCTTGGCTCTTGCTTATTGCCTTGTAAGCATCCCCACCAAACTTTAATTACTTCAAGAGGAGAGACCGCCTCTTGTTCACCATAGGCGCACGGTGCCACTCCTGGCATAGTGCCTGGCAGATAGTGGTCACTTAATATTTGATTGATGAAGGAATGATAGAAGAGGCCGGCTAGGTGATCAGTGAGGTAGATGGACACAGAGAATCTGTAGTCTTTGCCTTTGTATGACTTGGCTGAGCACTTTTACTGTTGCCCAACCATCCAGCCAATGAGTTGTTCACTGGGCCAAGATCTAGGTTAGAACAAGGCTTCCCCTAAAACCGGGTTTTAAGATTTTACCTTATGGGGAGCCTGGAGGAGCAAGGGGTTAAGTCTCAGCACTATGAAGCTATCCGCAGCCACTGCAGGCAGCAGGAGTTCGATCCTGGCTAGGGAGCTAACACACTTGGCGCAGCAGACCTCTCCTATCTCACCCGCTGCTCCCCTCAGCAGTGTATTTCAGTCAATCTGCCTTTTCTGCTCCCCACTCTGTCTCCGGTGAATCCTTTCATACACACCCCCACCGACACCTCTGGCCCACACCCCAGCTCTTGTATACGTACATAAATAAATCTTTAAAAAAAAGATTTTACCTTATGAGTCCACTTGCCTCTTCAGATAAGAAACTAGCTAAACTCTTTGCTAATATCCTGGCTTACACTTTGGAAGTGTTTTTCAGAATGTTGTAGTTTCAAGGGGAACTTAGGGAGAGGAAGTAAAATACAAACTGAGCTGCAAGTCTTTGAGGAAGAGCAGCCTACAAGTGCTTTTGGCATGAGATTAGTGGGATAGCCAGAGCTCTCTGAACCCCACAAACCCAAAAGGACATGCTCACCTTCTTAGTTTTCTGCATGCATGTCCAAATTTTTTAGTTTCCCTTCTAAAATTCTTTTCTCATTGGAAAATTTTCCACAAACGAGAGAGTTAGGAGGGTTTATTTAGGTGACCTGTGTCTAGAAAGACCTTACTCATAGACAGAATGACTGGGAGGTGGTGGAAGGCATTTCGGCATAAAAGTTGCTTCTGCCTATGGTCCAATTGTGTGTGTTTAAAAATCCAGCCACACTTCCTGGGCCTCTGACAATATGTCGGTCATCTGTGAGGGGTAAAGGTTATAATCATTACTTGCTAACACAACTCATCAACTAATTTACTCCAATACAGAAACTCACTGGGAGTTCTGCTCTCTGTGGAGGGAAGTGCCCAGAGAAGCATTGGCACCTGGCAGTGATGGGAAGACTCTTTTGACAGGTGACCTGTCTCCCCACAGCAGGGCAGACTCCTCACCCCAAGAACTGAGGAAGTAGTTGGTGCTAGTAAATTACCTCAGGAAAAGGGGGCTGTTACTATGGGCTGGGGGACAGCGGAAGGGACACATTATCCTCCTATGCTGATCCCCACCCTCCCCTCTAGGCCCCTGTATCCCTGGGTTAAAGGTTACTCTTCTTTCATATCCTACCTTCAACAGCCCCCCCACCCAATGCTTGTACCCCTTCCTCCTCACAGACCTGAACTTCCTTTCATCAGGGACAAGTTGTGTAATTCATTGTGAAAAATAAGGTTTAGCGAGCAAATACCATGTGGACATATGAAAACATTAGCAATTGCAGCAAGAAGTTCTCTATTGGGAGGAGGGTGAAGGTGAAATGGGCTCTGAGATTAGGGAGGCTTCCAGGGCTGGCAATGACGGGGAGAGTGCTGCAACAGCGCGCCAGTCAAATTGTTGCTCAACACTGTGCTGCAGTCTCTATACCATAAGCTGCTTATGGGGACAAATAGGAAACACCAGACCAATCAAGGTGTTTTTTTTTTTTAAAGATTTATTTATTTATGCATACAAGAACTGGGCTGTAAGCCAGAGGTTTGGGGGGGTGAGAGGATTCACCAGAGACAGAGTGGGGAACAGAACAGGCAGATCCACTGAAATACACTGCTGAGGGGAGCAGCGGGCAAGATGGGAGAGGTCTGCTGTGCCATGTGGGTCAAGGCTCCCTAATCAAGGTTTTATTAAAACTTTAGTAAATCATAAATCTGTCTTTAAAACAGTATGATGAAATCAAAATTGAGGATAGTTGTTACTAAGGAGTCTGGGAAGATGGTAGGATTAGAGAGGGCATACCTGGGGCTTCAAAAACATCAGTTAACAACTTATTTTGTAAGTTGGTTGTATTTATATGGGTGTCATTTAATTACTTCATGCATTCTGTTTACTTCTTTAAGTTGTGAAGTACTTTGTTATCTATGAATGTGTATGTGTATGTGTGTAAAAGAGAGGGCTTTAAATTGTGAAATACTTCATTATAGATGAATGTATATGTGTGTAAAAGAGGGAGCACTTCTGACCCATACATGTTTGCTCATTATATGCAAAGCAGTGTGTTAGAGGGGAGTGTCATGGGCTTTAAGGTGAGATTAGCTGTGTGTGTGTATGTATGTATGTGTGTGTGTATACACACACACACACACACACATATATATATACATGAACATCTTTATTAAAAAGAAAAGAGAAAAAGATAGGCACCTGCATAGTCATAGGTGGGCAGGGGAGCTACCTTAATTCATATTAAAAAAACCAAAAACCAAAAAGCAAAAAACAACAAGGGCCTCCCCCGGTGGCTCAGCGGTTGAGCGCTGGGCTGCGAAGCTGCCCGAGGCTTCTGCAGCGCCGGTTCGATCCCCAGCCGCTGGAGAGGGTCCCACATGGCGTGCAGGCCTCTTCTGCCACGCCCGCTGCTCCCCTCAGCAGTGTATTTCGTTAGTCTGCCTTTTCTGTTCCCCGCTCTGGCTCTGGTGAATTCTCTCACCCTCCAGCACTCTGTACCCAGTGTTTGCATAAATAAATAAACAAATAAATAAATCTTTAAAACAAAAACAAGTTGCATAGTAAAAATATAAAAGGGAAGAAATGACTATGTACAGGAGTGGAGGAGGTATTTTACAATTTATCTAGATGTGACATTTATATTTTTAATCAATTTTATTGATATATAACAAGTACCATAAAATTCACTAATTTTAAGTGTACAGTTTGGTGAGTTTTGTGGGTACATAGAAGTCCAGAATCTAGGTATAGAACATTTCCGTCATTGAATATAGTTTGCAGTAATAGTCAAGATATGTATGTTTTTGTTTTGTATATGGACTATTCCAGCACCATTTGCTGAAGAGACTGTCATTTTTCCACTGAAAAACTATCTTAAAAAAATCACTTGGGGGCCTCCCCGGTGGCGCAGCGGTTGAGTGCTGGGTTGCGAAGCTGCCTGCAGCCTCTGCAGCGCCGGTTTGATCCCCGGCCGGGTGAGGGTCCCACATGGCGCACAGAACTCTCCTGCCGCCCGCTGCTCCCCTCAGCAGTGTACTTTGGTCCTTCTGCCTGCTCTGCTCCCTGCTCTGGATCTGGTGAATTCTCTCACCCTCCCGTGCTTCTGACTATACCCAGTGCTTTATAAATAAATAAATAAATAAATAAATAAATAAATAAATAAATAAATAAATAAATAAATAAATAAATAGATCTTTAAAAAAAAAAAAATCACTTGGTCCCTTTTGGCCAGAACCACCATCTTTCAGTAAAGTTGCCCAAATGACCAACACAAAGAGAAAGAGGAGAGGCACCCACTGCATGTTCTCTAGGCCTTTAAGGAAACATGGAGGTGTTCGTTTGGCCACATACATGCAAACCTACAAGAAAGGGTATTGTAGACAGCAAGAGGAATGCCCCACACATGTTACCATGGTAAAATCAAAAGAGTCTATATGTCACTCAAGCTATGTCACTCAGCATGCAGTTACCATTGTTGCAAACAAATAAGCAAAGGGCAACATACTGGTCAAGAGAATTAATGTTTGTATTGAGCATATTAAGTACTATAAGCACCGTGACAGCTTCCTGAACTGTGTGAAAGAAAATGATCAGGGAAAAACGAAGCCAAAGAGAAAGGGACTTGGGTTCATCTGAAGCACCAGTCTGCTCCACCCAGAGAGGCTCGCTGGCCGAGAACTACTGGAAAGGAGCCTGCTGCTGGAACCTATTCCCCAGGAATTCATGCCTTGATAGGTGTGTGTGGGGGGGAAATAAGAGTGCTGGACTTTAAAAAAAAAAACTCTTATGATGTAAGAATTATACAAAATAAAATAAAATATTTAAAAAATAGCATGTATCTGTTGCTCCTGGACTAAAAGCTACAGATATGTATTAAAACATAAAGACAGATTATTTCTTGATGTGAACATAAATATTAGCATTTATTAAAGACTGAGTGCCGAGGATTTAAAAAAAAATCTCCTAATTGTATGTGTGTAGGCCTATTATGGAACTTTTTAGTCTGTTTCAGTCTTCTGTTGGCCTTTACATGCCATTAACTTTCTTGATAACTATAACTTTCTTGATAACTATAACTTTATGTAATATCTTGAAATCACATGGTGTAAATTCTTCTACTTTGTTCTTCTTTAAATGTTTTGGCTAACTTGGATCCTTTGCATTACCATATAAATTTAGATTTAGGGCCTCCCCGGTGGCTCAGCAGTTGAGCTCTGGGTTGCAAAGCTGCCCGCAGCCTCTGCAGCGCCGGTTCCATCCCCAGCCGCCAGGCGAGGGTCCCACATGGCGCACAGACCTCTCCTGCCGCCCGCTGCTCCCCTCAGCAGTGTACTTCGTCAGTCTGCCTGTTCTGCTCTCCGCTCTGGCTCTGGTGAATTCTCTCACCATCTCACGCTTCTGACTGTACCCAGTACTTGTATAAATAAATAAATAAATCTTAAAAATAAAATAAAAATAAAAATAAATCTTTAAAAAATAAATAAATGAATTTAGATTCAGCTTCTCAATTTCTATAGGAAAACTGCTAGGATCTTGACAGAAATTATGTTGCATCTGTGCATCAATTTAGAGAGAACTGACATATTAACAATATTGAGTCTTTTGATCCATGAATGTGATATATATATATATATATCTTCATTTTTAGGCCTTTTAATTTTTCTTACCATGTTTAATAATTGTGTGGAGGTCTTACACACATTTTGTTAAATTTCTTCATCAGTATATTTGTATGCTGTTATAAATGGTATATTTAATATTTAAAAAATTCTCATTTCTTGTATGTATACAGTAACATTTAAAATATTAATATTTTGTTCTTTGACCTTGCTAAACTCACCTATTAGTTCTAGTAACTTTTTTTTTAAAGATTAATTTATTTATACAAGAACTGGGGTACAGCAGATGCATGGGAGGGTGAGAGGATTCATCAGATACAAAGCAGGGAGCAGAAAAGGCAGACCGACTGAAATACACTGCTGAGGGAAGTAGCGGGCGAGGCAAGAGAGGTCTGCCACACCATGTGGGATTCTCACCCACCGGCCGGGATCGAACGCACACTGCAGAGGCTGCGGACAGCTTCACAGTGCGGCACTCAACTGCCTGCGCCACCAGGGAGGCCCTAGTTCTAGTAACTTTTAAATAGATTCCTTAGGATTTTCTAAACAGATAATCATGTTACCTGTGAATGACAAATTCACTGCATTCCTATCTATATGGTCTATATGGTCTTTACTTCTTATTTTCTTGTTGCATTGTTTTCAGTGTTTCACCTGTACAATGTTGAATGGAAGTAGTGACAGTGAAAGTCTTTAAAACGATATCTTTTACAGTGAAAGGATAACATCTTAAAAAATATTGTTTTTCTGTATCAAATATAAGTAATCACTGACTATAATAGAAGTATAAGCAAAATATGATGGGATGGGGAGTGTGTATATAAATGGCGGTTGGCAGAAAATATAGGAATTAAGTCCCATCCACTGAGGACTATTTACAAGATGCAGGGTTTTAAAACAAATTCCTTGGCTTCCCTTCATCTGAGCTTGGGAGGCGACAGTATGTGTGGTCTGCTTGCCCCATCTCACTCTAACCTATGGGGGTTCCGCTATCATATGCATCCAGCCACAGAGGTATCATGACTCCCCTCCATTGGTTCTAGGACATTGCTGTCTCCTTGCATGATGGCCTGCTCACGGATCTGCTCCCGAATTCTGGGACTGAGCCTTGGGATGACAGCCCTGTTTGCTGCTGCGGCCAACATGGTGCTCCTCTTTCCTAACTGGGATGTGACCTACCTGTTGAGGGGCCTCATTGGCAAGCACGCAATGCTGGGGTCTGGACTCTGGGGAGGCGGCCTCATGGTAAGTGTCGGGATCACTGAGTGTGAACTCCAAAAGTGCTCTCCAGGTTTGAAGCAGGTGGTTGGTGGGAGAAGTATTTAGATTCATTACAAAAATGTTTGATTTTAGAAATTGGTCTTGGGTTGGGAACAACTCCAAGGCATAGGAATCTCTAAGAAGACTTGTCAGGATTGCTGGACTGTAGCAGGGGCTAGGCATGTTGAATGTAAACATTGGCATATAGAGTCAAATTGTGTTGGCGGTCCAAAATTGGGTCCTGACAGTCAAAGAAAAACCCTCTGGGAAGGGTAAAATAATCAAGTCCATGGGAGACTAATTATGATATTTCAGAAGCCATAGGTGGCAGTTAGAAATATAAGTTACCCAATCTTTTCTCAACACTTTTCTCTTTTTTTCCCAGGTACTCACTGCAGCCACTCTCATCTCCTTGATGGGCTGGAGATATGGCTGCTTTAGTAAGAGAGGACCATGCCAAAGTGTAAGGACCAGATTCCACTCTTTTATCATGTACAATGTCCCCACATTCTATTACTTTAGGGACAGAATGGTAAAAGGACAATTTCAGTCTTGTAATTTGAAGTCATGTCCTGTTCTGCAAGTACCCCTTAATAGTCCTAAGCTCTTGGGCAATTTACTTAGCCTTTCTTAACTCAGGCACCCTTCCTCCCTCTCTCTTCCCTTGCTTCCTTCTTTCCTTTCATGCTCAATTTCAAGAAAGAAGAATCAGGGATAGGAGCTTGGAACTTTTGAAAATACAGTTCTCCCTTAAAAGGATCAGAAATGGACTAATTTGACCCTTTAGCCCAGAGGTTGAATGACTGCAATCTGAAGGTAAAAGTTTTTGATGCCAACAGGCTCAGCTAGAAGAGCCTGCTGAGTCACGGAAATACAGGTCCAAGTGCCAGTGTTTACCGTTATCAGCCCCTCCTCTCCCATCCCTTCCTAGATCTACCCAGTGAGCCCTATTAGACATCCTACTTTGGTTGTATTTTACAGAAAGTGCCATGGGGGAGGATTATTCCTGTGTAACGTGATGGGAGAAAGCCTAAGCATTGAAGAAGCTAGACTTACTCAGGTCACCCCCACAAGTCACCTAAGCACGACCTCATCTCAGGCTCAGTTTCTTCTTTCCCTCTGCAGATGCTTATTGCCATGTTGTCAAGTGGCCTGGCTTTGCTTGGAGCCTTGATTTGCTTTATCACTTCTGGAGTAGCCCTAAAACATGGTCCTTTTTGCATGTTCCATGATGTCTCATCCTTCAATCAGACACAAGCTTGGAAATACGGTTACCCATTCAAAGACCTACCTAACAGGTAAATGGATTAAGATTTAGATTTGCAGTCTTTTCAGAGAGGGAAAGACAGACACACAGATGGACTACAGACTCCTTTTGGTCATGCATTCTAGCATTTTGTTCCTCTGATGCTCAGAAAGTTGCAAATACATTGATGGTCACTGATAAGAAGCTAGTCCTATGACCTGAGCTGGGGGGAGGTGCCAAATTTCTATTAAGATTGCTCATTTGACTTGCCCTTCTTATTCTTCAATCCTTCAACCTCCTTATTTTTTGGAATAGGAATTATTTGTATGATCATTCACTATGGAACTCTGTCTGCCTGGAGCCTCCTAAAGCTGTCATTTGGCACGTGTCCTTCTTCTCCTCCCTTCTGTGCATCAGCTTCCTCCAGATATTCCTGGTGGTCATTCTTTTCATCAACAGCTTCCTGGGCCTTTTCTGCAGCCTCTGTGAGAAGTCATAGGTAACACCCTCTTATGCATGGGTTTTTTCCTCATAGGCTCCCTTGAATCCTTCTGCAAGCAGTGGGTGTGAATTATAAACAAACTTCTCTTTAGGTATCCTAGATAATAATGACAATTAAAGTCCTTGTATATATGTTGAATGATATAAAGTATTTTTTTAAAGATTTATTTATTTATTTATTTATTTGTTTATTTGTTTGTTTGTTTATACAAGCACTGGGTACAGTCAGTAGCGCGGGAGGGTGAGAGAATTCACCAGAGCCAGAGCCAGGAGCAGAACAGGCACACCAACGGAAATACACTGCTGAGGGAAGCAGTGGGCGTGGCAGGAGAGGTCTGTTGCACCATGTAGGACCCTTGCCGGTGGCCGGGGATCGAACTGGCGCTGCAGAGGCTGCGGGAACCCCGCGCTCAACCGCTGCGCCACCAGGGGAGGCCCTGCAGTTAACTTTTGACACTCATAGATTTCAAAGTGCCCAAGCTTAAAAATAGAAGTTTGTGAGTAATGCCGACAGTCCTGTCTTCAAGTTTGAGGTGCAATGCTACCAGATGAGAGGTGCAATGTTCCTGACTCTAGAGATTAGCTATAACAGCTCCCTTACTTTCTCTCTTCACAATTCAATTTACGGTCCTAGGAATGAGGGTGGGGGTGGGGCATGGCTTGGAAGGGAAATGGGGAGAGAAGGAAAGAGGAGGAAATGGAGGGGAGGAGGGAAAAGAAGGGAAGGAGAGGGGAAGAAAAGGCAGAGGAGGAGAAAGGGAGTCAAGAGACTAATGATGGGGAGAAGGAAGGAGAGGGGAGTTCTGCACTCATTCTACCTTGGCCCTGTAGCCCCCACACCTGGCTCTTGGCTGCCCTCTGTGGGATTCCAGAAGGCACCTGTATCCCCCTTCTTCTTCCTACCTCTCAGGAACACTTCACACTCATGCGAGGTTTTTCTCCTTAAATAAAAGCTACACTTGACTCTTGACTTGGCTTCCAATCATGTTTGGAGTGGAGGGGCTGATGCTAGTCTGTTCATCAGAACAGTATCAACTAAACATTTTATTAGAAGGAAAATTGTTTGTTCCTAACCTTGTGTATGACTTCGTGACTATTATCCTAGAATGAAGAGGATGTTTCCTGCTTGTAGCAAAGGAAGTACATCCTTGGAATAGACTGTCCTTCAGCTTTCTGTTATAGCAAGTGGCATTCAATTTAGTAATGATTTGTTTAGTTTATTATTCCCCAACCAAATCTATTCACTCTTTAGGGGAAAGACGGGGTTTTATTCATTTTAGTATCTCCAACATAGTAAAGTTTGTATTGAACTGATTTACGTGCAGAATTTTTTTGTAGATAGGGTAGAAAAACACAGTTCAGAAAATTATAAAATGTGAGGGAAAGTCTGCATTTTAAGGGTATGGCTTCTTAAAGCTGGTGAAACAGCATGGAGAAAATATATTATCTATCTCTAGGAGACACAGTGGACTGGTGTGCCAGGCGGGGACCAAGCTAGTTTGTGGAAGCATGATGGTAGCCAGACATGGGATTGGTGCTGCTATGACTAGGGGCATGGCTGAGCGTGCACCTGGTCCCAGGGCCCTTGCATAGACTCCAGCAGGAGGGTCTGCAGGCCAGTGCCAGAAGGAAGGCTCAGCAACCCAGCCAGATCATGAAGGATCATATTTGCAAGCAAAGAAGTGTGAATGCTGGGAGGACAGCCATAAGGACCCACTGGAAGACTTCAGGCAGAGGAGTGACAAAGGAAAGCCATTCTGGGGAGGTTTGTTGTGTGAAGTAGGAAGATGAATTTGAAGGGAGTTTATTGGTGCCGGAAGACCAATCTAGGCAATACTATCAAGAAAATACTTTGCAAAGCAGAACCTAGTCTAATAAAATTAGCTGGTCTCTACTGCAATTTGCAAAGATATACCTTTATAGAAACTACCCTCTTTGCATCTTGTAGATGAAAGTTTTGGAATGGATTAATTCAACCAGTAGGTTGAAGGTTACCTAAGGAAGTCTGGATGGATATTGGGGAAATTTCTTTTCTTAGCTGTTGAAGCCAGCAGAGACCAGGACACTACAGCCTTCTGAAATAGGACCAGGGACTGGAACTCATAAGCAGGGAACACTCCCTAGATCCGCCCTTTTCTGACTTGTACTGGAGCAGGTCTGTGGATGAAGCTAGGAAAACTACAAGTTGACAGTTATGGATCAAAGTAGGACACTGCTCGCTTTTTCTGTAAAGGACCAGATACTGTTGTAGACTTTAACTGTTGTACCGTCTCTATTGCAGCTGCTCAATTTTGCCGATATGGTGCAAAAGCAAACACTGCCAATATATGAGCATGGCTGTGTTACAATAAAGCTTTATTTTAATTTTCGCGTCTCATTAAATAGTATTCTTTTGTTTTTTTCAATCATTTAAAAATATAAGACCTGTTCACAAAGCACACAAAATAGGATGAAGTGTGGATGTGGAAGGCCCCAGTTTGAAGACCCTTTCATGAGAGTCACTGACGCTCCCTGTGTATGTCCTTGGTAGGTTACTAACCTCCACGGCTTCTCTGTCAATGTCCTAAAATCGTCACGCGGTTTAGAAAACCCGAAGCGTTGAAGCACCCCGCAAGACCCGAGCTGCTCCCTCAACCTACGATGGATCTCTCGACCCGTTCCCGCCGGCAGGGGTGCGCAGGCGCGGGCCGCGGAGGGGGGGCGGGCTGCAGGGGGCGCGCGCGATCGCGTCACGTCTGCGCCGGGGGCGGCCCCGTCTCCCTGGCGACGGTTTCCCAGCACCTTCCCAGCCCGCTGCCGCAGCCCGCCCGGCCTGGACAGCCAGACCCCCTGGCCGAGAAACCCCGGCTATGGCTTCGGTCGGCGGCACGACCTTTACCTCGGGCGCGCCCTCTGTGGGCGAAGGGGGGCTTGAAGCTGAGAAGAACGAAGGGGATGGCGACAACACCTATATTCTGCGGCCCATTTTCCAGCAAAGGCGGGTAGTGGACGGGATGTGGCGGGGCGACCTGTGTTTCATCCGGCAGGCAAAGCCCGTCTGGAAACCTGGGGTCGAGGAGGGGCGCCTTGGGGAGCGAGGGCAGGGCGGGGCGGGGCTGGCCCGAGGGGCGAGGCGGGGATGGCGATTGGGAGGGCTGGTCAGCTCCGGGTGGGGCGGCGGCGCGGTGGGGAGAACCCACGCTGCTCTGGTTCCCCGCTGCAGGAGGCCGCGGGGCACCGGACCGGCTGTTTGCAGTGTGGGTGTGCGGGAGCAGTTGAGGCTGCTGCAGTGGGAATGGTCACCTCCGGGAGACCCAGGTTGTGGGCAGGATACCGTGAGTATCCTGGGTACCGTGACAGATGGATAGAATGGACAGGGGCAGAAAACGCGATTGTAGCTGATGCTGTTCGGCAGTGCTTTGAGGGTTGCAGTGCACTTACACCTCCGTGGAGTCAGGGCCTGTATGTATACAAAGACCTACATGGGGAGTCTCCAGAGGCCCTTGGCCCTCCACCCCCATACTTTCCCAGAAGGCACATAGTTTAGTGCAGAGGACAGTGCTGGGGCTATGGGAGCCATCACTAACTTTATCTTTACAAGATATGAATGAATGAATGATTTCCAAGCCCCTCTTCTGCTGGAAAGCCAAACTGCTGAATCAAATAAATGCTTGGCAAATACTGAAAGCTAGGAACTTTGGTTATAATATGATAAAAATTTCATGCGGCAGTTATCCTGTGGATAAAATAGACACACCAAAAGTTGTTCAGTTATGTTGGTAAACAGTTCTAAATGCATAGCATTCACCCGTGTTTCTGTTGTAAAACAGCACAGAATAAGATTAATAGCAAATATATAGTACGATGGAGAAAAAAAAATCTCATGAGATTTTATGTGTTTGAAGTAGCTTTTTAAACATTCTGCTAAGAATGAAAAAGGCTTAAGGGCAGAGCCATATAAAACATGCCTGTTAATAGGAAAAGCACATTTTGAAGAGATGAAATCCTAGAAACTTGTCAAATCTAAAGTTCCTCTGTGGTGTGGTACATACACACATACACAATGGAATACATACACAATGGAATACTATTCAGCTATATTAAAAAAGATTAAATCCTGCCATTTGCAACAACGTGGGTAGACCTAGTTGGTGGTATACTTAGTGAAATAAGTCATATAGAGAAAGACAAATGCCATATGTTTTCACTCATATGTAGTATATAGAGAAATCAAATAGATGAACTAAATAAAACAAAATAATCTTTTAGACTATAAGATTAGTGCTCACTAGAAGGAAAGAGGGGAAAAGGGCGAGTAAATTGGTAAAAGGGGTCAATTTCATAGTGCTACATGGACTTGGACTTTTAGTGGTAAATTTAATGTAGTATATACACATATTGATTTTTAGAGATGCACACATGAAGCTCATGTGTTTTTTTTGTTTTTTTTTTTAAGATTTATTTTTTATTTATTTATACAAGCACTGGGTACAGTCAGAAGCGCGGGAGGGTGAGAGAATTCACCAGAGCCAGAGCGGAGAGCAGAGCAGGCAGAAGGACCGAAGTACACTGCTGAGGGGAGCAGCGGGCGGCAGGAGAGGTCTGCGCGCCATGCGGGACCCTCCTCTGGTGGCCGGGGAGCAGCCGGGGATCGAACTGGTGCCGCAGAGGCTGCGGGCAGCTTTGCAACCCAGCGCTCAACCGTTGCGCCACCGGGGAGGCCCGAAGCTCATGTGTTTTAATGCATTGTTATTTTGATAAAATAAATGAATAAAAACAGAGTACATCTGTGAGAATAAGTAGGCAAGAAAGCAATTGCTATTCAAAAACAATAAGGGGATATTAATACAACCAATATTAAACCACATTAAAAGTTCATGGTAGATAACCTGGCACATGGTAGATAAATCAGCTGATGGAATATATAGCCCAGAAAAGGAACCTAGTGTTGTAATATAGGATAAATACAACTAAAATACCAATGGTATTGTTATGGTGGTAGAATTAGGAGAGACTTCTTTTTCTGTCTTCATTTTTTTCCAGTAATCCATTCCTTCAAAAAGTATTTTTTTTTAAGATTTATTTATTTATTTTATACAAGAACTGGGGTATAGACCAGATGCACGGGAGGGTGAGAGGATTCACCAGAGACAGAGCGGGGAACAGGCAGACTGAAGAAATACACTGATGAGGGGAGCAGCAGGCGAGACAGGAGAGGTCTGCTGCGCCATGTGGGACCCTCGCCAGCCCGCCGGGATCGAACCAGCGCTGCAGAGGCTGCGGACAGCTTCACAGCGCGGTGCTCAACAGCCTGCACCACCAGGGGAGGCCCTATTCCTTCAAAAAGTATTTATTGTCCATTATGTATTGGGTGCTGGTCAAGCAAATGAGGCTGTACCAGTGAACAAAACTAATGAAAACTCCTGCCTGATGGAGCTTAGGTTCTGCCTGAATAGGACAACAAACAAGATAAATACCTGAGTGAATTATACAGTGTATCAGATAGTAATGAGCACTCATCAAGATATGAGTGGATATGGTGGGGGGGTTATTTGAAGTTTTAAAGAGGGTGCTTAGGGAAGGTGAATTTTGTATATAGGCTCTACAGAAAAAAAGGAAACTTGCTGTGCATACAAAGGGAGGAACTGAATTTCAGGCAGAGGTTAACAAGTACAGAAGCACTGAGGTTTGCATGTCTGGTGTGGTCAAAGAACAAAGGCAAGGCCACTGTGCCCTGAGTAGAGAGAAGTAATAGAAAACAATGTTAGAGAGTTTGGAAGGGCAGTACCTGTAGTGCCTTGCAAGTCAGGATGTTGTGTTTACTCTGAGTAAGATAAGAAACACTTGGAGTATTTTGAATAGAGGAGTGTTGTGAGCTGACCTATTTTAACAGCACCAGTCTAGTTACTATGGGGAGAACAGGATATAGGGGCAAAGGCAGACACCCAGAGAATCTGTTAAGAGGCCAGGCAATAAGTAATGGTAGCATGGCAGTTGGGTGGTGAGAGTGATTCAATTTTAGGTTATGTTGAAGGTAGAACTGATATGGTTTGTTCATGAATGGGATGTGGGCTGTGAGAATGGCAGTAAGATGGACACCAAGTGTTTTGGCTAGAACAGCAGGAAGATGGAGTTAATACGGAATAGGTGAGAAGCGGGAGGACCTAGTTTCAGGGAGAGATTATCAGAAGCTCAGTGTTGGATCTTTTAAATTTGAGTGGCCACTAGATATCCAGATGTAATATGTGGTCTGAAGTTCAGACTGGAGATATAAATTTGAAATAATGACTTGGTTTTTTAAAATTTTATTACTTTTATATTAAAAAAGCATGAAAAGGAAGAATGAAATGTTTCTAATGACCATATGCGGGGAAAGTTGAACTGTGACGGTAAATTGCGGTTTGGGAATTACCAATTAGATGTTTCAAACTGTTTCCTTTAGATTCAGACCCTCTGTTGTTAAAGATTGCATCCATGCTGTGCTCAAGGAGGAACTGGCCAATGCGGAATACTCTCCAGAAGAAATGCCTCATCTCACAAAACGTTTATCAGAAAACATTAAAGATAAATTAAAAGGTAATTGTGATAATTGGAAATGACGTCTTCCTTTCAAACATTGTTTCACCCATTTGTCTCTTTATCTTTAAGTAAGGAACATAAACTATATATTCTATTAAAGACAATTTCTCTTTGATGTCTACTCTAATGATTTGGTAAATTATTCTCATGTAAGCTTTTGGCAGGCAGTAGAAAGAGTAAAGATGTGAAAAAAAACTTTGTAGGAACCACTCTCCAAGAAATCCAACTATGGGCCTCCCCTGGTGGCTCAGCGGTTGAGCGCTGGGCTGCGAAGCTGCCCGCGGCCTCTGCAGCCGGTTCGATCCCTGTCTGCGGGGCGAGGGTCCCACATGGTGTGACAGACCTCTCCTGCCGCGCCCGCTGCTCCCCTCAGCAGTGTATTTCGTCAGTCTACCTGTTCTGTTCCCCGCTCTGGCTCTGGTGAATTCTTTCACCCTCCCGTGCTTCTGACTGTACCCAGTGCTTGTATAAATAAATAAATAAATCTTTAAAAAAAAAGAAAGAAAGAAAGAAACCCAACTATGCAGAAAGACTAGGAAGTATAAGATTCTTTTCCCCCATAATCCTTGGTTTTTCCCACCTACACATCAGTTCCTCAGTACACTTAATTTGACCTCATTCCTCCATCCCTGCACATACTATATCTGCAGTGCAGATCCTGTGCTTTTCCTCCCTGTTCTCTTTCTCTCATTAATAACATCATCTGAAAAGTCCTTTCTGTTCTTTTTAAAAGATAACATTGTGGGGGAGGGAAGAAATGTCTTTATAACAGTAATACATTTTCACTGTAATAAACCACTGAATAGTTTTTTAAAATTATATAAGATTTCTTACAAGTAGTTACTATTTAATATTTTGGTATTTTTCTTTTTCTTGACATGTTTTACTTTTTAGAAATTAAAAAATAGAAAAGTTCAAAGAAAAAGCTAGTAATTCTGTATTTTTCCATCTTACCCAAATTAACTGTTAGTAAAATAGCATTTTTGTTTCCAGACTTTTTAATGAAAAGTCACTGTTAAAATTGTTGTAAAAATGAAAGAAAAAGATACAGGGCTTCACTGCTTGGAGGGCGCCAGTGCAGGTCTCTCGGCTGCAGCGAAGGAACTGAGTTCACACATAGAGCAGGCAGCCACATCATGGCAGGACAGGCATTTAGAAAATTCCTCCTCTTTGACCAAGTATTAGCTGAAAGAAGTATAGCTAAAAGTGTAACTGAAGGAGGCTTTATGCTTCCAGAAAAACCCCCAGGAAAAGTATTAGGGGCATCAGTTGTTGGAAGAGTGGGGAAGAGCCAGACAGTGCAAAAGTAGGAGAGACAGTTCTCTCCAGAATATGGAGACTCTAAAGTAATTCTAGATGACAGGGGTTATTTCTTATTTAAAGATAGTGACATTCTTGGTAAATCACTATTGGGCCTCCCTGGTGACGCAGCGGTTGAGCACTGGGTTGCGAAGCTGCCCGCAGCCTCTGCAGCACCGGTAGATCACCGGCCACCAGGGCGAGGGTCCCACATGGCGCACAGACCTCTCCTGCCATCCGCTGCTCCCCTTAGCAGTGTATGTCGTCACTCTGCCTGCTCTGCTCTCCCCTCTGTCTCTGGTGAATTCTCTCATCCTCCCATGCTTCTGACTGTACCCAGTGCTTGTATAAATAAATAAATAAATAAATCTTAAAAAAAAAAAATCACTATTGAAATGGTATCAGGGGAAGCTACCCATTCCACTGAATTCTGAAATCTTTCATAATTTAAATAATTTCCATTTCTCTCTTTTATCATAAACTAATGATATTTAAACTAAGAAAAAAGATATAAAAGTTACATTAGAAAAATCCCTGCAAGTGCCACCACATTAAATATTAATGATATGTAGTCATTAATATTTGATGAGCATCATACCAGACCTCTTTCTATGCCTACAATGTGGCTTCCATAGTGGTGCAGAAGTCCTACTATTTTTAAATGGAGTGATTGTTCACTATTCAATCCTTTCACCACACCATTTTCATTGCTGTGCTATTATTTTGATTTAGTTTTCCTCTGATGAGATTTTGTTGTTTCTTCAGGAAGGACTGAAAATACTGTATTTGTTTTCTCTCATGTTTGAGAATGTCTGCTTTTTGCCTTTAAACCAGAACATAATTTGGATGAATATAATATTATTAGCTAATAACTTATTTTTTTTAGAATCTTGCAGACTCTGCCTAAAGAATCCTATCCTTTGATGCTCAGCACCTTTTTTAGGGTGTCTTGGTATTGAGTATTTTATATCTTTTAATTTGTGCATTTTATTTTTTCCATATCAAGGAAGATTTTTTGTATATCTGAGTACACTTGCTGTTCCATTTGTTAGATTCTTTTCTTTAAATATTGATATGTTGGGCCTCCCCGGTGGCGCAGTGGTTGAGCGCTGGGTTGCGAAGCTGCCGGCGACCTCTGCGGCGCCGGTTCGATCCCCGGCTGCTCCCCGGCCACCTGAGGAGGGTCCCACAAGGCGCGCAGACCTCTCCAGCCGCCCGCTGCTCCCCTCAGCAGTGTACTTCGGTCCTTCTGCCTGCTCTGCTCCCCGCTCTGGCTCTGGTGAATTCTCTCACCCTCCCACGCTTCTGACTGTACCCAGTGCATGCATAAACAAAAACAAACAAACAAACAAATAAATAAATAAAAGATGCCTCTATAAAAAAAATATATTGATATGTTGAATCATCTTTGTCTTTCAAATCTATTAATGTTTCGCTGCCATAATTTCTTCCTTTTTCTTTGATATTTATTGGTGATTACTTCAAAACAGTAATTCATTTTTCACTTGTGTCTGTTCTGTCTCTTGCCATTTAAAATGTATTAGTTCTGCACTGATATTGTGCTGCTATTCAGTTTGTGTTTCCTAGGGCTCTTCTCTCACCTTTTTCTTGTTTTAGAATCTGATTGAGTCCTTATTTTATCAAATTTATGATTTATATACATAAATTCAACATGTTATATATTGTGAATCAGTTGTGAGGAATTTCTCTTGGTTCTTTGATTTCTATTATTTCCTTGGCTGAGTTTTTATTTATTTATTTATATATTTTTTAAGATTTATTTATTTATGCATACAAGAGCTTGGGCACAGGCCAGAGATGTCGGGGGTGAGAGGACTCACCAGAGACAGAGTGGGGAACAGACCAGGCAGACTGACTGAGATACACTGCTGAGGGGAGCAGCTGGCGAGACAGGAGAGGTCTGTTGTGCCATGTGGGTTTCTCCCTGGCCGGCCGGGGATCAAACTTGTGCTGCAGAGGTTGTGGATTGCTTCATAGTGTGGTGCTTAACCCCTGTGCCACCAGGGAGGCCCAAGTTTTTTCTTTTAAACAATACTTTTCTTTTTGCTATGCTTTTCTTTCTTTTTTTGTTTTTTGCTATTGTGCCTTTGCAAACTGCCATTCAGCTAATTTTCATTTTTCTAATATTGTGTGAGTGTTTTTTTAAGTTTCTATCACTATTTCTGTGACTATTTTATTTTCCCTCAGGACTCTGATTTAAGGACTGGGTATTTAATATTCTTGAAACATTTCTAAGGTGTGGTCATGAGGAAAGGAGGGAGAGGAATGGGTAGAGAAAGAAGAAAGCTTTGCCAAGGTGTATGCAGTGTTCTTAAAAATAACTTGTGCTCTGGGCCTCCCTGGAGGCACAGGGGTTAAAGACAGCACTATCAAACTATTGGCAGCCACTGCAGCATGAGTTGGATCCCCACCCATCGGGGAGCAACACACATGGTGCAGCAGACCTCTCCTGTTTCACCCACTGCTCCCCTAGCAGTGTATTTTAGTAGATCTACCTGTTGTTAAAGTAACCTTGCATTATAACATTATATAAATATATCTGTATATTTTGAGGACTTAGCTCATTATCTGACTTAGTGTAGGGGGAAAGGAAGAAAGCTAAGATCTTTTGAGAGATGATGTGTTAGTACTGTCCTTGATTGTTTATATATTACTATATTATCTAACTTCATAATATTCTCCAACAGGTAGAAAATGTAACAGATGAGGAAGACTTAAACTGAAAAGTTAAAGTGTCTAAGGTTAGGATTTGTATTCATGTTTCTCTGACACCCAAGCCTATCATCCTAGGGAATAAGTGCTTATAGACTAAACACTTACGTCTGTTTCTAAATAAATTTGCTTTCATTAAGTAATTTTGCCACGTTTGCTTAAAGATAACTTTCTTATTTTTCTTTCTAGAAATGGGATTTGATCGATATAAAATGGTGGTACAAGTAGTGATTGGAGAACAAAGAGGTGAAGGAGTATTGTGAGTAGTTGGGGTTTTTCCTTTTGTTTTTATTCTTATATATATTTGTATTAGGTATTCATCCTCTTGGCAATTCGGTAAGATTGTGTCTTTGCAAGAATGAGAGGAAAGAACAATATACTAAAATGCAGCTGTGAAGTGAAAAGATCCTGGTTGTAAACACTGAGGCTGACAGTGAATGAGTTTTGGGGGGGACTTCACTTCTCACAGTATCTGAGTATCTGTAGGCCAGTAAGTCTCTCAGGGTTTGCGTATACATGCTCCCAAAGACAGTGTGGGGTTACTTTACGTGCTGCTTCCATTGTTCCTTATTGCCCAGCTTTTGATCCTACCATTTTCCTAAATTAATTTCTTTAAAATTGTCCGGGACTTCCTTATTTACAAATCAAATAGTCCTTTCTTAGCTCTTATTCTTGGCTCGAGCTTCTGTCTCTTAAAATTCACTTCTTTTTGGCCCTGATTGTCACTAATCAGACTTGTTTCTCTGCTGTTTTTCTGACTGATTATTCTCTTTTCTTCCCTGATTTCTCTTTCCTACATCACTAGCTGTGAGCTTTCTTCAAGTCTTAGTTCTTATTCTTCTGTTCTTTTCAATGCTTTTTCAATTAATGCATTCATTCTGTTACCTCTGTCATTCCTGAATTGGCAAATTCAAATTCCTATTTTCTGTCTATTCCTATGTCAGAGTGTTAACCTTCTGTCTCCCTTTGTAAACAATATCTAGTATAGTATTTTGTAAGAAAGTACTGAAGTATTTATTGAATGAATAAAAAAAAACCTTGTAAATTATCACTGATAATTTTCTCTATAGAAAGTTAGATTTGGACAGGACTATAATATCTAGTGACTCGTCCCCTTATTTTATAGATTAACAAGGTTCAGCAGATTTACTTAAAATAGTACATCTGACTGGTTTTAGGGTCACTCCTAGAGCCTAACCTTTGGATCCTAGCACAGTACTTTTCACTAATGTGCCTTCTACCATTTGGTTAAAGGCTTTAGGAAATTTCCTTACCAAAAAGAGGTTAAGAAATACTTTACCATCCTCTCACCTCAGATTCAACATTCAAATAGAGGTCCAGATTTCCTTTCCTTTCCACTCCCTAAATTAGTCTGCCATTTTAATTTTTCTGTCTCTCACAGTTTTACCAAGTTTCCATTAACTCAGACTTAAAACTGTGGAGTCCTCTTATATCTTGTTTAGCCAGGGCTCTCTCATTGCATGTACTGAAATCTGGATTTCAGTGTTACTCAGAAGTCCCTTATCAGCATTTTCTGACTGATCTCTCTCCTGGACAGTTCACTTTGATATCAGGCCTATCTTCCAGTGCACACCTCTCTTTCTGTAAGCTTTATAGAGTTTATTTCAAACCCTCTGAAATTTGAACTCCTTATACTGGTTGTGATTGACTCTGTTAAATGTGATCAAGTCAAACACTAAAGCATAGCCTATGAGGTTTCCCTTTCTCCTTTTTTGGGAATATTACCATGTAAAATTTCAAACATATGCAAAAGTGAAGGGGCTAAGGAACTTACATGTCCCTGTTAACTTTGCTTCATAGGTTATCAGCACATATAACAGTGTTGTTTCACTTACCCTTTCACCTACTTTTCCTGCCTCCACCAGATTATTCTGAAGCAAATTCCAGTCATCATACCATTTTATCTGTAAATACACCAAAGACTCATTAATACCTTTTTAGCATAATAAAATACTATTATACCTAAAATATCATCAATCCTTAATATTATAAAAGGATGTTTATATATATTCTAAACATTAGAATTTTATAATATTCTAATATAATTCTAAACAAGTTACACATCAGAAAGTTTTTAAAATATGAAATATCAGCATTCATAATACTCAATTTTCTCATATGCACATGTTTGTATGTATATATAAGTATATTTTTTAAAAAAATGAATTCAAATCAGGTTCCAGACAGTGTATACACATTGTGTTTGGTTGCTGTTTTCTTAAATTTCTTTTTATCTATTGTTTTTGCTCCCTGTTTTCTCCTTTTTTTTCCCCTTACCTTGTCATTTGTTGAAGAAATTGGGTGTATCCTGTAGAGTTTTCTATGTTCTGACATTTGCGGATTGTATCCCCATACTATTACTCTGCCTTCTACCTCCCATATTTCTTGTAAATAGGTAGTTCAATGTAGTCATAATCAGTCGTAAATTTAAGTTTTTGAAAAGACTATTACATAATTGATTAGTGTAAATCCTATTGTATGTATCTCATTAGAAGGCACACAATGTTTTGTTGTCTCTGTTATTGCTGTACGATTGAGCATTGAGGGGCCTCCCCGGTGGTGCAGTGGGTTGAGCGCGGTGCTGTGAGGTTGTCGGAAGCTGTCTGTGGCCTCTGAAGTGCTGGTTTGATTCCCGGCCAGCCAGGGAGATTCCTACATGGCGCGCAGAACTGTCCTGCCGCCCGCTGCTCCCCTCAGCAGTGTACTTCGGTCCTTCTGCCTGTTCTGCTCCTCGCTCTGTCTCTGGTGAATCCTCTCACCCTCCCAAGCCTCTGGCCTCTACCCCAGCTAGTGCATAATAAAAAAAAAAAAAATCTTAAAAAAAAAAAGATTGACCATGGAGTTCAGATAGTGGCAGATTGATCCATCCTTTATAAAGTTCTCTTATCAGTTTTACCATAAATGGCTTTAGCACCCTGTCCTAGATCTATTATTTAATGGTTACAAAATGGTGATCTTCTCATTCTTTATTTAGTAGTTAGAATTATTCTATTAGGAATGACTTTTGTTCCACTTCCCTTCCCTCTTCTCCTCTTTTTCCTTCCTTTTCTTTCCTTTCTCCTCTCTTCCCTTCTCTTTTTTGCTCCTTTCCTTCTCCTCCCTTCCCTTTTATCTCCTCTCTCTTCTTCGCCTTCCCCATCCTTCCTCTGCGTTCTCTTTCCTTTCAAAATATACCAGGTAGGGCCTCCCCGGTGGCGCAGTGGTTGAACTCTGGGTTGCGAAGCTGCCCGCAGCCTCTGCAGCTCCGGTTTGATCCCCGGCTGCTCCCCGGCCACCGGAGGAGGGTCCCACATGGCAAGCAGACCTCTCCTGCCGCCCGCTGCTCCCCTCAGCAGTGTACTTCGGTCCTTCTGCCTGCTCTGCTCCCCGCTCTGGCTCTGGTGAATTCTCTCACCCTCCCGCGCTTCTGCCTGTACCCAGTGCTTGTATGTATAAATCAATCAATCAATCACTCAATCAATCTTAAAACACACACACACACACACAAAAAAAAAAAAACAACCAAAATATACCAGGTAGGAAGGCATTCCAACTTGGGGTGGTGTTTCACTGGTGTCAAGGAGGTATGCTCTACTGCTATGCTCTGCCATGTCTTCATCTGCTTAGCTGAAGGTCCTGCAACACTACATTTACATTTCCTTTTTTTTTTTTTTTTTAAAGATTTTATTTATTTATTTATTTAGACAAGCACTGGGTACAGTCAGAAGCGCGGGAGGGTGAGAGAATTTACCAGAGCCAGAGCAGGGAGCAGAGCAGGCAAAGGGACCAAAGTACACTGCTGAGGGGAGCAGCGGGCAGCAGGAGAGGTCTGCGCGCCATGTGGGACCCTCCTCTGGTGGCCGGGGAGCAGCCGGGGATCGAACCGGCGCTGCAGAGGCAGCAGCAGCGCTCAACCACTGAGCCACCAGGGAGGTCCTACATTTACATTTCTTAAGAGTGAGAGAAGGAAAAGGTGTATGCCTTTCTTTTTTCAGCATTTTAAAGATGTGATTATGTTGTATTCTAGTTTTCATAGTTTCTGTTGAGAATGCACCTGTCTTATTTTCATTCCTTTGAAGGTGGTATTTCTTTTTTTCTAGTAACTTTAAAATGTTTTTCTCATTGTCTTTTTACTTTGATAGATATGGTTTTCTTTGTATTTATTCTGCTTTGTATTATTCTGCTCTTGAATTTGTTTTGCAACAGTTTGGGGAAATTCTTATCCATTATCTTTTTTTAATAAACTTTTTATTTTAGAATAGCTTTAGATTTATAAAAAAGTTACAAAGATAGTACAGAGAGTTCTCATGTATTCCACACTACTTCCCTTTATTTTTAACATCTTACATTAAAATGGTACATTTGTAACAGTAATGAACCAATACTGATATATTGTTAATTGAAGTCTATACTTTATTCATATTTTTTTAGTTTTTACCCAATGTGTGCTTTTGCTGTTCTAGGTGGTACCCATCTAGGGTACCACTTTAAATGTCTCTTTAGTTTTCTCTTAGTTTCTTTGACTTTCTTGGTCTTTCATGACCTTGACATTTTTGTTCACATATTTTTTCAGAATATCCCTCAATTGTGATATGTTTGCTTGTGATTAGTTTTGGGTTCTAGGTTTTAGAAGGAAGATTGCAGAGTTAAAGTGCCATTCTCATCTTGTCACATCAAGGGTACACATCAGCATGACATGACTGGGCTTGGTGTTAACCTGGGTCCCCTGATGAAGTGGTGTTTGTCACATTTTCCAGGGTAAAGTTTCTCTTTTTCCATTCCTTTTTTCCTTTCCACATTGTGCGCTTTAGGAGGAAGTCATTATGTGCAGCCAACACTTAAAGAGCAGGAAATTATGCTCTGTCCCCTTGAGGGCAGAATATCTACAAAAAATTATTTGGAATTCTTCAGTACAGAAGACTTGTATCTTCTCTCCCATTCATTTATTCATTTGCTCATGTACTTATTTCAGTATGGACTTGGTGTTGATTTGTAGTCTTTGAATTATAACCCAGCACTCATTTATTTTGTTGCTTAAATTGCTCCAGTTTTGGCCATTGAGAGCTGTTTTTAATTGACTCCTGTGTTCCTTTGGCATACCTCACTTCCTTACTGGAACCATAAGATGCTCCATCTTATCCAATCCTGACACCCGCCCTAGAACCAGTCATTTGTTTAAGGAATTCATTTTATTGGAGAATGGTATCAGAAAATGGATAGGTGTGGCTACTTTTTATCTTTTGAAATGTTGCTTATGCT